CAGCATTAAACATTTAAATAATCACTGCTCTTAGTTAAATGATTGAGTAATGAATAATAGATGAGATGGTAGGCGAACAGGGGAATAGATGGTCTGGGGAATAACATCTGGTCAAGTGATATTCATCTTCCACATTTGTAATGGCACTTTGTTCCTGAACTGCACCAACTCTCTCACTCTACTGTCTCTTCAATCAGGTTGTGCCTGTAGGGGTGATGTATATACACACATACACACCACACACAAGCATACACACTATGCTGAGAAATCATTGGGGGTTTAATCAATTCACATTACTCTTGTGGAATCTGAGTGCAGCAGATATCCCCAAGAGTCAGACCACTATTGGGTTGTTTGGTTAAGTATTGTAAAGAGAATAGATTTTCTTAACCAGTGCAGCCTCTATTCTATTTAATTATATCATATTCTATTCTATTCCATATAATGTCCCTGAGAGCTCAATGTACTGCAAAAAACAAACAAAAAACACAATCAACTAAAAATACAGATAACACAACTAAATACAGAAATTTGGTGTGAATAAAACTACCAAATTCTAAAATGTTGTCTAAATGTTGTTCATGCATTATTGAATAGGTGAGAATAGGTTTCTTCATGTTTTGTCTCTTTACATGTTATTTTCCTAAGTTGCAGTGCACTCAGGTCAGTGCATTGCTATACTATTCAAGGCTGTGTTGGTGTAGATTTTATCACTCAGTTGTCTGAGTGAGCGTATGGTCAATAACGCCTGTCCACATGCACACACCTACACATATGCACACACTCATCATGCTGACTGCAGTATGTGTGTGGGAAGGACACCTTCTTCAATCACTTAATGTAAATAGGCTGAGGCTGTTGCAATTTACAACACAGTCCTGTCGTGTCTGATAAATTCAGCTCTGTCTCTTTGTTTATCATGTCAAGATGACTTCAGTCTTGTCCCTCTTTAGCCCTGCTGTCTCTTCCATCCACACACATTTTGCTCGAAGCCTCTCATTTCCTTGGTGAGTGAGGGTGGGGGCACATGACTGAGACAGCTTGGTAATTAGTTCTTGAGCATGCTCTCACTAAATATTTCTGCCTAACAACAAGGCGAAGCGGGTGCACTATGCCTAACGGCCTAGTTCAGTTTGATTCTACAAGCTCTGATCATAATCCAAACTTGTAGTAAAACTACAGCACAATGCTGAAAAAACAAATAAATAACTATGTGAAAAAATAAAAGAATGTAGATGTTAGGGCACACTTTGAAATGTACATCAAAAGCAGTGATTTGTCAGCCATCAATAGTCTATCCAGAGGGAAGCCTGTCTCTCTCTCTGTCTATGTCTCACTCTCATTTAGTTAGATGATTGCCTCCTGCAGCCCCAGGGAGTGATAGCAACCACCAAGTCTATTACTTCCTTCACCACTTTACTCCTACCAATATGAAGCACTCAATAACAACCGGACCTACCCCATATTAACTCCTATAGTCTATTAGCCAGACACCAATTCTATTCAAGAGCACGCATCGATACAAGGGAACCCCTGAGTAACATTATCCACATGAATACGACTCAGAGGAGAATCATGCAAGTCAGCTGCATCAAAATGAGCATAATGAAAAAAAAATCTGAGAGACACATAAAGGAAACTAATAAAAACAAACAAACGAGCAAACAGACACACACAGTGGGGCTTGTGGGTGAGGCAGGTTCACCATTTTGAAATGCCTTTATAGGAAGGTGAAGTCAAGATGGAAATGTGGTGTTCAGTTTCACATACAGGTACACACATTTACATAAACACTGCTATGTTGTCCCAGTGTGTTAATGGCCAGGTGCTGTGCATCCAGATGGTAACCTCAGTTTCTTAACCAATGCAGCAGGGTACAGAGCATTCCACTCTCTCAGGGCGTAGGTGTTAATTTCTGCTATGGTTCTATTTTTCCTCCTGACTACACACCCTGACCCCAGCATGTCCGACAGTGGAGCTACACCTCTGTCCAAGCCAGCCAGATTTCAGTCTTCAAAATCAGCCTCCCTGCACAACCACTTTCAACCACAGAAATAGGTAGAACAAAATCAAACAAAAATAAACATAATGGAGTGGTGTTTGACAGATATTTGGCAGCAGTTATACAGTGCACATCAAGGTGATGTGCTGCGACAACTAAAACACTGTTGTAAATCACAGATGATTATCAGTGAGGAAATACTTTTGTCATGTAGCCATCATAAAGAAAACAAAAGAGTGGAAGGAAAAAAGCTAACAAAAATGGCACAAGGCAAAAAACAACACAAAATCATGTCAGTAAGGGTGGGCTAAGGTGACAGCAGCTGATGGCCGGTTAGACCAATACATTTGTGGTTGAGGGAATTTCTAGGGCAAAGCGCTCTCAGTTGTTGACTGGATGTCCACTCAGCATCTGAAAGCACAAACTTCAATTCATTATTAATGATCTGTGGTGTCACTGCAGTTCATTCACTTCATTGTTGAGACATCACCTGAGACATCAATGCAGACACACACACTAAACACACAGGCAAACACACAATAAACAAAGATGAAAGCTTCTGAGCACCTGCCTCTTAAGCTGTTTTCTTATTACTTTCTGTCACTCCCGCCAGGCTGAGGGCACTTTGTAGATGCCCCGAAGATGTAGATAGCGAGTGGAAGAAGGCCATGGAGGAGGAGAGCATTGACGGTGTCTCTGTGTTCAAAAGTAATCTAGGGACCTGGTAAAAAGCACCTCCTTACTTCATTTTATCCACAAAGTCCCTGCGCTGCCAAGAAGCTGACAGACGGGAAGGCCCGCACATAGACAAGCAGCTAGCAGCACACTCAATTTTACCCAAAGGCATTAAAGACCAAAAAAGAAAAGGACTCGAGGGAAAATAAAAGGTGTAAAAGAAAATGGGGGGGAGAGGAGAGAGCCTTTATAATTCATGTCTGGAGAGGACAAGGGGAGGATGATTTGCTTTGTTGTCCATCTCAATGGTCATTTGAGAAACAGACGACTTGTAGTTCAAAGGCAGCCAGCCATTGCACCTCTCTTACAAACCTACTGGGACTGTGCTATTAAATTCAGAGCTGTTTGGGAACAGATTTCATCACATTATTCCTGTTTAGGACCTTTGTACTCGGCGCCAGAATCAGCATAGTGCTCTATCTGTCTGTCATTTAAGCATTGAGCCTGGGATGTGAAATATATTTAGAGAAAAATTCAATAACACATCATCACTAAGCTGGTGTATTTCTTCTCTTGGCACTATCAATAGCTCTGACACTGGTGTGGGAGAGGCGTGGGATGGCAGGGGGGGATCAGGAACTCAAAGTCGACCTAGGAAAACCTAATACCCAAAACCTTTTTTATTGAAATATTTATACAGGTAAACTCACTGTGTCTGTGCAGCTCCATTTACAGCAGATATCTAGGCGTCAGAATAGAGCCAGAATCGATAAAACACAATTATAGCAGGACAACCCATTGCTGGATCTTGAGTGATAGGAAGGTGGTGGATTAAAGCATCAGGGGCTAAATGTATAGAATAGCCATGGGGGCAGAAATGTGAGTGGACTGTCACTGCAGCAAGGCCTTGCTGCCTTCACTGGCTGTATTTGCAGCTTATAGCTCTCTTCACAATGCCTCATTATTTACCATAGTCTTGGCTTTCTTTTCAATGTATCCATTGATTACTAATACCCCTGAGCTTTGGCAATAGTTAATGTGCTAATGTGCTGTATTACTCTAGGTGGAATTACTCTAGGTGGAATGACATAGCTATTATGCTTCTTTTATAACTGGCTTAAATCTGGGAGATAAATAAAAAGCCCAAAGACAAACAATAACCTTGAATAACACTGCCAGCATTTCAGTCCACATTCACATTCAAGGCAAAAGCCCCCAACAAATCAAATGACCAACAAGTCAACAGTACTTGTTTTGAAAAGGAGCCTTGGGAGAAGCATATATCCAAGGTCACAGGCCCAGGAGCCACAGGGTTGAGATGTAATAGATTTGAATTGTATTACAAATGACTGATATGCTAGGATTCACAGGCGTTTCTGCAACATGCCAAAAACAATTCTCCGATATGCAAGTAATCAGCAATTATAAACAACCTTGAGGAAATGTCAGCTTGACTTGACATATGTGGCATGTTAGCTGTGTGTGTTTGTGGGTATGTGAAGTGTGCAGTCAGGTTTGTATCAAGAAAAAAAGTAAGTGGTTGGTCTGTCAGTGTCATTGCAAACCTTCTGAACCACCTTCCACCCTGTAATAAGATTGAGCATCAAGCCAAGCCGAACAACTGCCAGATGCTGAGACACCATGCGAATAGAGAGGAGATCTCTTGGAAAAAACGAGGGTGCAGGGTTCAAGGGAGGGGAGGTAAAACATTTCAATGTGGCATCTCACTGCAGAGGCAGCAGTCAAGGAGAACTCAAAGAGCCCCTGTCAGGTAAATCAAGTATGACTTTTATTTCTTGGCATGTCAGAGGTGCATGGTGACTACTAAGACATCCTATGAACACTTTCTTTTTTGTAGATTAGACATTTTCAGTGTACAAATAGCATCTAGTCTGGACTGCAGGTACATGCTTCAGTTTTTTTCCTATCAATTATATATTTTAGACAAATTATAAATACTGTGTTCAATAAATGAGCATATTTTCTACAGTTAAATATTATGTTGTAATACAGCTGGTGTGTAGTCTTTTTATCCTTTACAAGTGGTGTTCTAAAGTATCATTTCCTATCAAAATAGAAAATGTTTCAAAGAAAAAAAAAACTCCATAAAGAAAACAGTACAGAAGTTGACCCTTGACAATTGTACAATGGTAGAGGGATCATGATTTACTTTCCTCTCTTTGAAACGTAAGGAAGCAGCTTAAAATGCCAACAGCAAGTCAAACATTTATTTCACACAGTGCTTGAATAATCTAAATAGCGCTAAACTTTCCTTTCATTCCATCCTCTGTTGGAAAATGTCATGGGACCAACTGAATGCTTGAACAGTTTCTCGGTATTTCCAAACTTTTCTTAGACTCATTATTCTTCTCCTAGTGCTTGTGCTTGTGGAATTCTATGTCTTTGTAAGTAGTGCTGTATTAAGTAAGCTTTTTCTGTTATAGTAATTGCTGTCATTTTACGTGTTGTGTTTCCGTGTGCTAATTGCAGTTGTTTTGATGTTTCACGTAGCAACGTCATGTATGCTAATTTGTTTTTTGCATGATTCTGTTTACAGTTACAATATAATAAGGAATGATAAGGATAAACTCCATTTGAAAAGAAAAGAAAGCCTTGTGTGGAGCATCAACCCTTTTATTTGTTCGCTGGCTGTCTAGTGTCACGAAAGTAGGCGTGTATCGAGGACAGCACAGGGATCATGATTTACTTTCCTCTCTTTGAAACGTAAGGAAGCAGCTTAAAATGCCAACAGCAAGTCAAACATTTATTTCACACAGTGCTTGAATAATCTAAATAGCGCTAAACTTTCCTTTCATTCCATCCTCTGTTGGAAAATGTCATGGGACCAACTGAATGCTTGTCGCAAGCCTGCTCCTCTGCCACTGCCTTGGCAGTGCTTTGAGATTGCAATGGGAGTGTCAGTGTGCCTCTGCCCAGCAATAGCCTCCTCTTCACCCAAAGTAATTTACTTTTAAATGTTTTTTAAACACTGTCTGCCTGCCTCAGGTAAAAATTACTTAGCTTAAGCAACTGGCAATTTGCACGACATCAGAGAGGACCTCTGCATAATGACTACTGAATTACTTTGGGGAGCTCTATTAATGCAGCACAGCTTCCACAGCAGCCATTAATGCATATACATAGTACATCTGGATGCTTGTGGTTTACAGCAAACAGGCTAATGATGCTAGCAAGCTCTTCATCTATATCAGCAGATGTATCAAGTAACACCATTGTACAATATATTGTGAAAGAGCTTTTCCATGTTTCAGTTCTGACAAAGAATCTTTTCTCCACCAATGTCATCATCACAGTATCATTTGTAGTATTTTGCTTAGTTCCTGCAAATTTGTGGGTCAATACAAGGTTATCATTGAGATGTGGTAAATATTCATATTACTCCTTTGTTTTTTTCACATTACATACCCATACTAAGATAAATATGTGAGTACATGAGAACAAGACAAGATGCTAGGAAATCAGAGGGTAACAATGTTGTGCTTAAGAAGAACTATTATGGATTATGGATGGAAAGTATCTACATTATGTAAAAAGTTCATAAAACTTGTTATATGAGAGGAATTGTCAAAATGCATAAGAAATGTATTTATTTATTTATTTATTTAGATATAGCATTTCAGCTGTTCAACTGTCTGACCCTGTATTTTATTTCACATCCTTTGGTCACAGTACAGCAGCAGGGGGAAAGATATATCCACAAAACCAGGTGCAGTTGAAAAATTCTGCTTTTATAGTGGCACTTTTTTTAATAAGCTTTATTGAAAACATACATAATAAACAAGGCAGTATGACATTTTGCCAGTATGATGGGGGCACTGGTGGATGTCAGGCAAGCTGACATGAATGCACATTGGCTTGAATTTTATGCACATTGGCTTGAATTTTATGCACATTCAAGAAGATCCTTGAACTATCACATAATACTTTATTTTAGTAGAAAAACAGATTTGCGAGCGAGTTTGCGAGATGTGTATAAACCAAGTTACTTCTGCATTGAAATACTAGAACATACATTCAACTCATTTTTTGATCTTTAGGTCATCAGAATCAGAATCAGAATTTGCTTTATTGGCCAGGTGTGTTGGACATGAGGAGAGATGACTTTGGTACAGCTCTCAATGTGCATGTACATATCCCCATGCAAGGGGCAAGTAAACAGTAAACCAACAAAAGGCTGTGTAGTATGACAAAATAAACAGTATTAACAAGCAACAAACAATGCAAAATAAGCAGTATAAACAGGCATTAAACAATGCAGACAGACAAAGGAATGCTCATTGTGAACAAGATAAATAGGAATAAAAATGTATTCTGACCATTGTGTTCTGCCTTGCCCTCTTGCTATGGACTGCCTTCTGTGTATGGATTATCGGACTTCCCTCTCTGACCCCTCGTTTTGTGAATTCCTCGGCTGTGTAAGTTTGCTGGCTCTGACCCTGGACTGTGTTTTCAACCTGAGTGTGTGCATCGTGTTTTACGTTGTTTTCTATATCATTTTGTTGTTCCATGCTCTTATTAAAGAGACAGTTATTCACTTATCCTCATCTGGCAATATAATTGAGTTCACCCTGGATATTATCGGCAGCTTCACGCTCCAATCCTGACAGTACAATCTGGCCAGACATGAACTCAGCCAGCAAGGAATGAAGTGTTGTGGAAGGAATTGAGCAGTTTCTGCCACCAGCTTTACGATCTCCAGCATCCTGCAGAGCATATACGGCTATGTGCTTGTATTGAGGCACTGACACAGAACCGGTCCCATCTGGCACACCTCCCGGAGACCGAGGACATGCTACTCCAGGTGATGGAGCTACGAGAGGAGGCAATTTTGGACTCTTGCTGGTTGGCCGGCTCACCCTGGGACACTTTGCATCCACATGACCCATGGCATATGAGTCGCTGCCATGCCCCCTGCCCACAGGATCTCGACTTCTCCATCAGGGTAGGGGTGTACTCCCTTACTCCTGAGTCCCAGCCCATGGGGACCTGCCTGAGCCCAGCAAAAGCCCAGGACATTTTTCAGGAACTGAAAGCCTAGATGGCTGATCCACTCTCTCCCCCGACACGGGAACCCTTTTCTTGGCCTGCTATCAACCTGCAACCTGTGCTTGATCCAGTTCTCCAACATGTCAGCCGGACCGCCGATGCTGCCCTTGGTCCAAGTCCTGACTCCTCTGTTCCGCTGGGTGCTTATTTACTGTCCACTGGTCCAGACCCCAAAGACTTTAAACCCTTGCCTTTTGAGGAAACCCGGTGGGCTATCTGTCCTGGTGGTCCAGGAAGAGGGAGAGTCAGGAGGAGGCCGTCAACTGGAGCCGCGGTTCCTGTACCCGTTTCCAAGTGGGTCGGCCGGACTGGCCCTGAGCCGGTTCCCATTCCTGTACCCAT